CACGGACTATTTCCTTGGCATTCGTCCAAAGGACTCATTACGTTTATCCTTTCGAAATATCGTTAAGTTTTCAGTGAATAGCCTGTTGATGCCGGTCTTTATATTGTAACATGCGCCCCTTGCGGCTGTTAAACCCTCAGCGAAACTCTTCTAGTATTCACTACTAAAGAATCAAATCGCCACCGCCGTAAGAAATGTGACTCATCTTGAATTAATAGGAAAACAAGTGACTCGATTGTGACTATGTAAAAAATCGTTATCATTGAAATCGATTCATTAATTTTTTAAAACAATAACTTCTCTATGACTGGGTTTTAAATATTGGATTAATAGAGCTTTCTGAGTTAGAAGTTACCGATTGAATCAAAAGCTTGTCAAAAATTGAATCATTTCTCTTAAAAGAAGCATGTTTCTGTTACAAATTCCTTTCGAAAATAATCGAAACATTCGATATTTCTATCTGTTTTCGCCCGAGTAATTGCGTGCTCAAGTTAATTACTAAATATCCAATATAAATTACAAGAACGGTTTAATGAATAGCTAAATACTACTGCCACGTTTGAACTGCTTTTCTTCATTAGTTTTGTTTTTATTTGCAAGTGAATAGATGGCGTTGCTGCCTTCAATACATACAATACGCCATCCAGAAATTTCATTTCAGGAGGCAATAAAACCTGATGAAATCAATATTAATAAACTTTTTATTGGTTGGAATTGTATTTCTGCAAACTAGGTGATAAAATAATTATTCATTAAGCAGAACAAACACTCCTAATAAAAAAGTGAATGTAAATGGTTTAAGTAGGCGCTAATGCTTATAGAATGAAGCAGCATTTGCGCAGGTGTCGAAAATTCAATTATTTACTGCCATTATTTACTTTAATCGACGCCAACTATATAACGTTATCTATCTGTTATGATTGCAGTTTAATTTTCGTGGCGAAAATTAAAATTAAATTTTAAATCAAGCGAGCATTGTAATCATTATGGTAACAAAGTTCTCATTTATTATTAGTGCCACTTTACACTTTCCTCTAATCGTAAGTTTTGAATAAGAGCAAACAATGGGAGCGTGTATTAAATTAACGCCTACCGAGACCATAAACAACCTTTACGTCAATAAAACAAATAGCTGAACGTCGCATGATTAGCTATCACTGAAAACAGATAATAAATTACTTCTGATAGGTGAAGGTACCTTTTTCGAAATTTATCCAAAACACTAAAATATTATTCAAGCGTCTAAAACGTATTGCCATCTAGTACTTGGTAAACGAATTAAAAATTGTGAACGCTGCATTAAAAAAACTGTAAGAGTAATTACTTTATTCTAAAAAACATTGAGGCTCTATAAATGATTTATGAATTAAATAAATTATATTTAATATGAAAAATATTTATCCATCGATTTCATTGATGCAAAAAAGTTTTTTTCGTTAGCTTGGGTAATAAAATGTAATACAGCATTGATTCGTGTAGTAATCGAACGAAGAATAAACGTAATGTAACACTTTATTGTAATATTTATTACCTTGATTTGCTTACTTTAAGTTGCATTGGCATGGAATCTAATTCCCGTATAATTAATATTTTTTGGTTAATGCAACAATCCAGAAATTGACTATGGTACAACATAAATCTAATCTTTCAAGGCTAATTCGATTATATATCTTAGTTTTTTTATAGATATAAAGCAAGCATTACTGCTCGTGGGTGTATTACACGAGTGGGTTCTATGTGTAAACTAAAAAATAAGAAATAAACAATTAATATTAAGTCTAATATGTATTACTTTTATTTGTTAAGAAAATTACGTGTTTCAATTGTTTGAAAAATTGCAAAACTTTCCAATTTCTGACCTAATTTACTATGTCCAAAGTAGGAGTTGTCTAAACCTAATCGTTTAATGCTCGTAGGTGGGTAATTAGAAATTAGATAATCGATTAAATCGAAAGAATAACTTAAAGCGGCCTTAGTAAAATATTTACCTGACAAACTAAATCTGTGGCACAGCTTCTATTCGTGATAGTCACGTAAGCACAATTACTTCCAACTTTTCCGTTTTCATCAGCACGCCAAGAGTAAAATTGACATAGGTAATGTCAAGGTACATAGAGGCAAAATATCGTTCGAAATTAGTTGAAATACTATTGTTAGTAGGACATATTCAGTATATGCCTATGTCCTATGGCGTGCTGATGAGAATTAGTAAAAGCGATTCGACCCTGCGCTATCCTCTGCTTAATATCCCTATCACTCCTTCCGTCCTGACCTTATCAGACTTCCTAGATACTTAAAATCACCCACTTCTTTTAATTTTTTGTCTCTTATCTTTACATTCGCGCTTTCCCTACTTTTTCTTCCCTTGCACAGCAGTATTTTTGTTTTACATTTATTTATTTTCATACAGTACTGTTTTGTCAATACCGCTTCCATTTTATTTAAAGCTATCTCTAACTTGTCCTTGCTATCTATATCTATCCCTACAGTTGTAAGCGTAATTACATAAAACTTATTCATTCTCATCAGCACGCCAAGAGTAAAATTGACGTAGGTAATGTCAAGGTACATAGAAGCAGTATATCGTTCGAAATAGTTAAAATACTATCGTCAGTAGGAAATATTCAGTATATGCCTATGTCCTATAGCGTGCTGATGAGAATTAGTAAAAGGCGATTCGACCTTGCGCTATCCTCTTCTTAATATCCCTACCACTCCTTCCGTCCTGACTACCTTATCAGACTTCCTAGATACTTAAAATCAGTCACTTCTTTTAATTTTTTGTCTCTTATCTTTACATTCGCTCTTTCCCTACTTTTTCTTCCCTTGCACAGCAGTATTTTTGTTTTACATTTATTTATTTTCATATAGTACTGTTTTGTCAATACCGCTTTCATTTTATTTAAAGCTATCTCTAACTTGTCCTTGCTATCTATATCTATCCCTACAGTGGTAAGCGTAATTACCTAAAACTTATTCATTCTCATCAGCACGCCAAGAGTAAAATTGACGTAGGTAATGTCAAGGTGCGTAGAGGCAGTATATCGTTCGAAATTAGTTGAAATACTATCGTTAGTAGGAAATATTCAGTATATGCTTATGTCCTATGGCGTGCTGATGAGAATTAATAAGTTAAAAATCGCGATTCACTTCTGGTAGTTTTAATACATTACTGACCAAGAACTTAAAGTTCTTTAAAAACAAATCAGAATCCATAAACAATCATAAAATTATCATCAAACGTCAATGAGCAAACAACCGAAAATTTTCTGGTCAAATGACAATCTACTTCTTGTTAGTGCTCCTTAAACGTATTTCAGAAGAAAGTTAAACAAGATTCCCTCTTTATTTGAGTGTTAGGTACATTCAAAGAAATAATGATTGTAATTTTGTATCTTTAGCGACGCCTACATATTCCGAAAATGCATTTACAAAAAGGAGAAAAGAACGAAGAAACAGAACTGCTTTTATAGTGAAGGGGGGACCGAGTCTGAGTCTGAACCAACAATAAATATTTTTTTTCGGCTAATTACTTTAGGCGTCACCTTTGCGTAGAATGCATACACATACATGCATGTCTACGAATGTTGGTATGTGTGCAGATTTGTATGTATGTGAGTAGATGCAGTTATGGAAGTGCAATTTCGGAGGGCAACGACTCTCCGGTGTTAGGGTCGTTAAGTTTTGGACAAGTTTTTCGCAAAAAGACTACACCGAATGCACGGATAGAGGTGTACGTACCTATACACTTACAACTACAGGGTGATTCATCGCAAACAATAAACCTAAAACAGAAAACACCGCACCAAAATATTTTAGTAGATGTTGGAGATCCTTCTATATTGTTTCAGACTGGCAGAAACTTAAAAATAAGATTAAAGGAACATGAAGGATCAATACCTTCATAACCAAAAACATAATACAAATCGTATAAATAATAACCATTTATTAAAGCAAATAAAATAGGTATAAAACTGTGGCGACATCCACCACATGTTTGAAAATTGTTTCTTTTTGTGTACATATTGTAAATACCTTTCTAAAATATTTCTTTTCTATTTTCGATTAGGGTCTACAAAATTCCATCCTTTTGTAAATAATCTATTGTATCTTTCTTATCTATTTAAATAACTTTATTACTGTACTTTCCTANGAGACAACTCTCGGACAAACTCTTAACCGGTGAAGAGCGTATAATCCGTACAGTACTGCACGGAAAAATTGACCATTTTATCCACTTCAATTGCATTGCTCAAATGTGATGTTATTGGTACCATTTACTACTGAAAATATCAACCAGATGTTTATTTATATTTCAAGACATATTAAAGGCTTTAACGCTTGTTTTCGACTCGCACTACTATTCATGATTGAACAAAACTTTTGGCAGGTACTGTATGAAAAACTATGTTTAATGAACAAGAGTCGACAGCATAATGAGCTTTTTTCTCCCTACCTACGATTTTACCAGCGCGCATCCAAGACATTGGAAGGGGCTCATCGCTAGAGAAACTAAATGAAGTATACATATCTTCACCAATTCACTCGATGGAAGAGAGACACCATTTTTTGTCAATAGGGATATCCATACTAGTTATTTTTATTTTTACAAAAAAGAATTTGTTTAGAATAATCGGAAACTTAATATTAAAATCCGGGATGGGGAGAAATCGTACGATTTGGAGAATCTCCCAATCAAATAAAGATAATAATTCCTAATATGCTCGACAGACCATAGGTGATAGCACGTTTTCTATTTAATTCTATTATTTTTCAAATTATCGTTATATGTATGCAGAGATGAGGGGTCGGGTTTCATAAAGGCCGCCAGAAACTCATGGAGTCTCGAACCTCGACCTTCTCCACAACTATTTTAAACTTTATAATTCTCATTTCTAGTTGAACTTACACTTAATCTTCTCCTTTTCATAAAGCAACATAGCAAAAATCTTCTTCTGCATTTCTTCCTTTTTGATATTTACAGGATTCTTTGGAGGAAATATCGTCGTTGCAGAAACTACAACAACTACGATGGGAGTATATTGAAGAAGGACGACCAATCTGAAGGCGCTATACCGTCTGTCAGTTCTCACTGTCAACAGGTAAAGTTTTGTGTGCTTTTGAAAGTCTTCATTAAGTAACGAACAACTTTAATGCATGCAATTAAACTAAAAAGAGAATTAGCATACTGTGCTGTAATAAAAAGAAAAAATGCCAAATCAAATTTCCCTTAAAGTTGTGCAACAGCATGTCCTTTTTGTTTGCGTTATCTTCTGCAACTTTAAGGCAATACGTCTAACTTTCAAAGAGCTCCTTGTCACAACAAGCTTATAAATGACGTTTGTTTTAATCTGCATTAAACTACAGCATCAGCAAAATTGCCCTAAACTTTATTTCTCAATTCCATTTCCTCAAGAAAGATCAGAAAGATTAGTTTTTCATTTGGATTATCATTATTCCATAACACTGCAATGTTTGTATCTCATCCTTACCAGCTCCTAAACCTGTGATATCTTCTAGCCTTCTAGCCTTCTCTAGCAGACAAACCAAAATAATAGGAGTTTCGGCATACCATAACATATTACTGACGGCGCATAAATACCGACTAGACTTTGTAATTTAATATTATCTTCACTAGATAAAAAGCAATATTTTGTGTCGAAGCCATAAAATTCTATCCGTTTAAATGCCGTTGTTGTTGGTGTGCTTATAATCGCTCGTCGGTCTACAACGGTTGTAGCAAAGGCGCTATTGGAAAAGAATCTCACTGAATTACCAATACCATCGACCCTTATAGGAAATACCGAACTTAACGACAGACCCAAAACTGGACCAATAGTGGGAAGCTAATCATAGGCATATCGATGTTGGCCAATCTTCAAATGCCAAGTCTAAATACATTCACGTTTTGTCGAGTTCGATGTGATATAGAGCAGTCAAACAGTGGTTTGTCAATACTGGTCCAAAGTTTGGGCATTTTTCACATCTCATGGTTAAATTTATTAATGTTTCGTCGATCTAATGCTGGAGCAGCATTAGCTTCTTAATTCTGGTCCAACGTTCGGTCAATCTTCGAATACCAAGCGTTCGTCAAGTTTGGTTTAATACTGGGCAGTCAAGCAAGGGATTGTTAATACTCAGCCAAAGTTCTGATAGACTTCGAGAGTCAAGGCTAGATATATAAACGTTTCACCAAGCTATATCCGATACTGAGCAACGAAGTATTGACCAAAACGGAAACCCACGCAGTTGTCCATCATCATTATAAGGTAGTCAATCCTAAGACTGGTTGGACATACACCTTAACTTCTTCCTATCCTGACCTATTTTCGCATTTCCCTTCAGATCCTTAACTATTTGCGAACAGTAATCTAACCCAGGTCTACCTCTACCCCTCCTAACTCCCGTTTCTGCCTTTAATATGATTCTCTGACTAGACTTTCATGCCTGAGAAGGTGTCCTACTAACCTAACTCGCCTATTTCTTATTGACTTCCATAGAGTCCTCTGTTCTCCTATTCTTTCATTTTTAACCTTCTCTATCCACGATATCCTCATCATGTCCACATTTCAAACGCTTCTAATCTTTTCTTTTCACCAACAGTACATAGTAAATACGTTCATTTTTTATATATTCCGTTTTATTCTTATTTTGCACAATTATAAAACTTCCTCAAACAATTAAATTAAAAAAAAATATCAATAACAATATATAAAGACCGACTAAAGATGCTAAAAAGTAAACATTCGGTTTTATCTTTTTCGAAATACATTGTAATAGGATGACACTAGATAGTTTCATAATATTTCGACTGTTATGTCACGAACCTATAAAAATATTTATGTGGTACTGTGTCAATGAACCAATAAAAAGCAGTTCTTAACGTATTTTAAAAAACGATTAGTTTGTTTATCACTTGTAAGTATGTAAAACTGCATACAATATAAGGAAAGTTAGTTTGGTGAAGGCGCCGGGAATGCTAACAAAAGACTGTTTTTAATATTTCATTTTTGACTGCGCATTGTGTTTCGTAGAGCACGTGAATAAAAAGAAAATGAAAAAGAAAAAAAAACAACTATTTGTGTATTATGCTTGAATTAAAAATATAATTTAAAATTCTATCAGTTACATAAATTGTACTTCTCTTCATTTCGTGGAAGTTATAGATACTTTCAGCAAAACATAAGCTTTTTATTTAAAAAAGCTATATTAATAGTATATTTACATTGTTGCTGTTAATATTACTTATATTATTTATAGTCAAACATTGTTTGCTGAAAATAAAAAAGAAACTTTGAACTATAGTAAGAAAAACCAATCAGTTTATTAAACGATTACAAGGTAATATACGATGAACTCCGTGTTATACATTATTAAAACAAATGTAATGCAAATCTAAAGTGACCTTTTAGAATGCTTTCTTTTTCTCTGTTGCTAAAGCATGGAGACTGACCACCTTTGGAAAAATTTCTATGTTAGCTTCATCAAAAATTTTAACGAAACTGTGGGAAATACAATTTAGCTGCTACAGTACGTACATTATCATTTACTACATCATTGCACAATTTACGTTCTTTTGGGAGATCCCCACTTTATTTTATATTTGGACCAGAAACAACGCTTACAAATCATCATTACCATCATCATAAGGTCGTCAGTCCTAAAACTGGTTGAACACGCACAAATCGTCGTGATTTAAGTCAAAAGATTTCTCTTGTTTCCTAAATTAGTGATGAACAAGACAATACCAAGTCAGTAACCCTGGTATTGATTTTGGTCTTGCTTATTCGGTCTTAGTCTTTATCTTGACCTTATTTATATAGTCTCGGTTTTAGTCTTGTTCTCACGCTTATTAAATAATGGTATTGCTCATTTAGCCTGATCTTTATGTTTTTTTTTTTTTAATAATTCATTTAGCACAATTTTTTTATTTTTATGAAAATTCGAGAACTTACCCTTCCACCAATGCATAAATTGGTCCTTCCTACAACGCATTAAATTGACCTTTTAGCAAATGAAATAGTACAAGGTGCTTGAAAGAAGTAAAAAATCATCATCATTATAAGGTCGTCAGTCCTAAGACTAGTTGGACACGCACCTCCACTCTTTCTTATACGGAGCTAATCTTCACTTTTCCGTAAAACTAGAGCATCCATATCCTTAACTATTTGCGAACACCAATCTAATCTAGGTCTACCTCTGCCCCGCCTAACCTCCACTTCTGCTTCTAATATGTCTCTGACTAAATCTTCAAGCCTGAGAAGGTGTCCTACTAACCTATCTCACATATTTCTTATTGACTTCCAAAGAGTCCTCTGTTCTCTTACTCTTTCTTATACCTCTTCATTTCTAACCTAATCTTTCCACGGTATCGCTATCATTCGCCTGAAACACCACATTTCGAACGCTTCTAACCTTTTCTTTTCCGCCGCGCTCACTGTCCATGTTTCGCACCCGTACAGCGCTGTACTCCAAACATACACCTTTAACAATATTTTTCGAATTACTAAATTAACCGTTCGCGAGCATAGAAGTGACCTCTTTTGATTGAAGGCGACTCGACCCTGAGCTATCCTTGGCTTTATATCTCTATTACTCCTTTCGTCCTGACTAATCTGACTTCTTAGATACCTAAAATCGGCCACTTCTTCTAATCTTTCGTCTACTATCTTTTCGCTCTTCCCTACTTTTCCTTCCCTTGCATACCAGTATTCTTGTTTCACTTTTATTTATTAGTTTGTCTCCATGTATTATCTAAATATTGGAACAAAGAACACCTACTCCATTGACATTCTTGTGGATTCCTTTTTTCAAACAGTGGTTTGAGTTTATTTTCTTTATATTTAGTGTTACAATCTAGTTAAGCAAACTAAAAATTTGAAATACTGAAAATGTTTTGTTTCAAGAAAAGAATATATTAAAGTTGCTCCAAATGGTTTAACTCATAAATACGCTGGAAGTAACAATTTTTCGTTTGGTCTTGCGTATATGGTCTTGCTCTTACATATTCCGTCTTGGTTTGAATCTTGGTCTTGTTTGTTCAGTATTGGTCTCGGTCTTGTTAGTATATATATAAGCAGTCTTTTGCTTTAGTTTCATGAGAAATTTTAACGAAAATTTGTGCCCAAAACGATTTTACTGTTACGGTACATATAAAAATATATAACACGCGATGCTTGGCGGATGATATTATGTAAATGGTTCGTTGATTGAATCGAATGGTCGAAAACGTTGTCCAAACGAAGGACCCGCCCATGAAAAATGCATCGAAGCCGCATTCTTGTATGCACTTGGTCGAAACAGGTCCTTGCCCGGTTATTCACTCCCGAATTAGTGGTCCTCGATGCAATGCCCTTACGTCACGCCCTCTATCCGTCTCGCTCTTCCGATGCGGGATAAAAAAGGAACATCGAACGACGCTGACCGCGATGAATCCTTCTAATTAGCCCATGCAATAGCGGAACTGAAGAGCGGGAAGGCGAATCGGTTAATATTTGTAGTCGACCAACCAGAAAAACAAAAACAAAAACAAAAAAAAACAATTGTCTTAAAATGGGCTCCTTGTTTCGTATATTGTATATAGGAAGAAGGGCGTACTCATGGTGTATATTCCAATAATTGCGTTGTTTATGATGATAATGATTACGATGATGATGATGATGATAATGGTCAATGTGCGCGTTTTGAGAATGTCGACGCTCTTGTCGAATTTTCAACGGATGAATGGCTGAAACTGACCAAGGAAGCCTGCCAGTGACCGCAACGAAAGCAGAAGAAGACGACTGTCGGTGGAACAACAAAAAAGGCAAAACATGGAAGAAATTTGCGATAGCCATAAGAATATTCCATATACCTGACTGGGATTTATCTTAACATAGAGATGAACTAAGTAGTTGATGCACTTTTGGAAAATGTACATGTCTTTGAGTACCAACATATGGAAGCATGGAAATATGAATTTTACTCTTACCAACTCTTAGCCAGAATGGTCAATAACATGAAGAATGTGTAAACTTTAGTTATTGATTTACCTTAATTTGAGCAAAACCAATAGCACATAAAAGGATTGGTTAGCTAATCCGCGGTACCATGATAGAAAATT